AGTATTATGAGACATAAAATGAATGATTTTGATATTAAAATAAAAAGGTTTTACATAAACAAAATCACTATAACCACAACTAGAAAGAAAGCAGAAATCTGGGAAACTTTTTACAGCAAGTGTCTCTGATAAAGACATTATTTCTTAAATATATAGAGAACTGATTCAAATTTATAAGAATATAAGTTATTCCTCAATTGATAAATGGTGAAAGGATAAGAACAGGCAGTTTTCAGGTGAATAAATCAAAACTATCATATAAAAAATTCTCTAAATCATTATTGATTAGAGAAATACAAATTAAAACAACTCTAAGGTACCACCTGACACTTATCAAATTGGCTAATATGACAGAAAAAGAAAATGAGGGATGTTGGAAGGGATGTGGGAAAATTGGTACACTAATGTATTGTTGGTGGAGTTGTAAACTAGTCCAACCATTTTGGGGACCAATTTGGAACTATTTCCAAAGGGCTACAAAACTATGCATACCCTTTGATCCAGCAGTACCATTTCTATTTTTATTTAAGACATAACACGAATGGTATTCATATTTATTTTTACTTGTTTACTATGAACTAAACTAAATTGTTCAGGTCAAATTTTTCTTCATTCGGTTTCCACAATAATTTACCAAGTAGTTACATGTATATCTAGAGATGGATCCTATGACATGCTATACTTTGAAAATCTAAAATTAAATAGAGTAGTTTATCACTGGACAGGTATGAACAATTATTTTTTTTTTATGTCATGCATTGGTCTATAGTTTTCTTTCTCCATTCTGATTCTCTCTGGTTTAACTGTAAAGACTTCATTTATATCATGCAAAGACATTCAGAAAATCTCTTTTTTTCTTGCAAAAAGTTTAGGTAAAATTGAAATTAATTCTTCTTTGAATGTTTGATAGAATTAACTTTTGATTCTGGGTTTGCTTACCTCCCCCACCTCCTCTTCATTTTGGGAGTTCTTTTATGGAATGTTAAATTTCTTGTTCTGAGGTTAGGTTAGAAATACCTTACTTTTTATTCATCCATGTTGTTTTTCTACTTTGTGTGAGTATATAATCAATGAGTTTATAATAATTTCTTTGCTTCTTTATTCATCATGAATTTTTCCTTCCTTTTTTTGCATCAGCACATAGTTTTTATTATATAGTTTTTTCTACATAAAAAAATCCCTAGTTTTATTTATTGATTCAATAAATTTTCTGGTCAATTTTGTTAATTCTTTAATTTTCAGAGTTCCTATTTTGCTATTTTAGTTCTAAGAAATTTGTTAGTTTTTAGTTTGTTAATTTGTTTGTTTTTTAGTTGTGTGCTCAATCCACAATATCTGGAGTCCTTTTTTTGTTTATTCATTTTCCCAGCTTTACTTACCAAATTGATACATTATGTTAATGCCAGCCTCTCCACATTCCTGAAATGAATGCTAGCTCCTTGTTTTGTTCTGATTTGTTTTCTTTAGAGTCCTGTTGCTTCTTTGTCCATGACAGCTGTATTCTTCAAGGATCTCAGGAGTGGCTCAGGCCAGGGACCTGCCAGTTTTCAGAGAGTCAAAAGTGATCTGAAAAAGGGTAAAGCATGATTGCTGCCCTCTTGGTCTCAGGAGCATTTCAAGCCTCTTGACTTCTATACATCTCAACTTGAATATCATGCTTGTACCTGAAAATCAACATGTTTAATATAAAACCCATCATTCCATATTTATTCTCCCAAAAATTATTCTCTAGTCTTTCCTACTTCTGTTAATGATACTATCATTTCTTAACTTTCTGTAATTTACAACTTATCTATTTTCCACTTTTTCACTTGTTTTTAACTAGTAAAGCTTAATCAAACATTACTATTTCTGAATCAGAGAAACTAAAGGGGATTCATTTTGGCTAAAGTGACACAATTATCTAGTGGCTGTGCCAGCGAAAAAGTCTTTGTTTCAATTCCTGAACACTAGCTATTAGTTCCCACTGAGTATTCATCTTCACTTTTACAAAATTCTTTACCAGAATAATTTTAAATGGGCTTTTTATTTTGTTAATTTCATATAGAATGAATTCTATTCTGAGTGGGAAAGCCTGATTCACTCAGATGGTCTAATTTCCACATATAAAATGAATAAGCATGGCATAGATTGTTGTACTGTCACTTGTGGGCCACTGTAGTGTCAACTAATTTCATTGCTTTGATATAATTTCTCTGTTTTCTCTCTAATGTTTGGAGATGTTGCTCTCAGTTCTCTCTCCATCATGGCCCGGGTTGGGAATAAAGCACAGGAAACCTGGATTGATATATATGAGCTTTATTGGTCTAGTGAATCTTATCTGTGTTTCTACACCAATGATTCTTTTGCTGGAACTTTTACTGTCCTGAGAGCCCTATGATTCAGTTGATTAAGGGATAATTAACAATTGTAAGATCCAATTCTTATCTTAGCTTCATCAGCAACTGTGTGAACCTATGCCAGTCACTCAGAAATGCCTGTGACCCTGTGATACTTTTCATTTCCCCATTTCCTGCTTTCTTCATTGGAATTTTCTGAGACTGCATATTTATTGAGTGCTCTATAACAACATATACATAATAAAGTAAAACCTCTTCAGCTGTATTATAGCAAAGCTGGTATAAGTTAACCTAATCACTTTCTAGACCTCATAGCCATATGTTGAGACCTAGTCTTACTGGTCACACAATTCCAATATGTATTGTAGCAAATTGGACTGGTTGAATTTTAATTATTTGTTGCCATGGTAGCTCACTCTATAAAAGGCATGCTGGCCATCTATCTGTTATAGTATCTTGTGCAATCTAAATCACTTTTTAGGAATTAGCCTTCTGAAGGACTTTGCCTTTGAAAAGAAATCAAAAATGGGTATAGACAGTTAGAATGATTTCTTACCCTGGTTCTGAAAAAGACTTCTTTCCCAATTTGCTGTATATATCAAGTAACTGACAAATGACATGCGTTTGGATTGGTTTATTTCAGTTTTGACAGGACTGAATGTTCTTTCCAGTCATTGAAGATGTATTGTTAAACACTAAACTACATACATAACAAGAGATCTTGATGGATATGAGGCATGCCATCAAACTTTGCAGGCTCAACATCTGAACAGTATTTTATCATCCCCCAAAAGTAAGAGTATATAGTAATGATTCCTGAAGTTTATAGGAACCTCTAGTGCCCCTAATAAATTGCCAACAATTTTACCCCTGTGATATCTGTGCTTTCAACCAGGTACACCTGTAATGGTTTCATACAACAGAGATTGATATTTTGCACTTGAATTTGGGGAGTATTCTATCTGACTTGTGTGACACTAGCTCATTTAATCTTTACAACTTCTGAATCCCCCTCCATATTTCTTAATAAATGTAATAAAGTGATGCCATATGGGAAAGTGCTAAATTGGGCTCTGCCAGTTAACAAAAGCAACTTTTCCCTTTTTATCTTAGAAGTGCTGGTTTAGAGTGAAAGGTTCATTTTCCCTGGGCTTCATTTTCTGTTGATAAGTCTGACATTTCTATTAGGGAGGTTCAAATGTCTGTTGTGGTATCTTATTAAAGTGAAACATGAAAATGAATAGCCAGAAAAGGAAATTAGCCAAACACTCCAAATTAGCAGCTAAGTAAAGTGAGTTAAATGAGACTTATCACTATCAGGCAAATCTTAGCAATGATGGAAAAAATTCATTAAATCAGTTGCTTGGATATTTGCAGCACATATTGTCGTATATATGTTCAATGACTTCCATTACTATTTCTCCAATTAAAATAAACTTTATTCAATTAGTACTTGGGCCTCATGCCCAAGTACATACCATAGATGTACTTGTCTTCTTTTTAATTTACAGCTTTCCAAAGCTTACACTAAAGCTTGAAAAACATAACTTATAAAGACAATGCCAATTATTACACAAATGGGATTGTATTGTTATTCATCTTTTCTTTACGTTAAAATATTGGTCATAGGTGGTAGGCCTGGATTGAACACTGAGAAGGTTCTAAATTACTACTCTTCTAGATCAGAATATCATAAGATTACATTGCAGTATGGTAGACGGGACTTTAAAAATCATGTCCAATCTCTTCATTTTAAGTATTTATCATATAATCATGTAAGCATGCAGTCATAAATTTATGACTGGGAAGGACTTAGAGATCACTTAGTCTAACCCTCTTCCTTACAGATGGGATGGAGATGGAGATGGTGAAACTGAGGATCAGAGAGCTTGAGTGACCTGCTCAAATCCTCAAAAGGATTCAAGAGTGAGAAACAAGCTCAGAAAGGGAAATTGATTCAGTAAAACTAATGTAGGGAGGAAATAGAAAAGCCAAGACAAACCCAAGTCTACTGACTTCCATTTCAGGAAAATAAAAGGATTAGGTAAGATATTAGAAATTTGTCAGAAGAAGGAACATTATGTAACTTGATGGATAATCTATTATTCTGGGAGAAACTTACTTCCCCGATTCTCAGACAGAAGGTAGTGATGGCATTCCAATGCTTGTGAAGAGAGTGCCAATAGGTATATTCCTTAAAATCATGCCTCTCAAATATAAGAAATAGAGACTTAGTAACAGAGTAGGGACTTTGTGGCAGGAAAATCAGCCCAAAGGGTAGCTTTTGCTGTCAGTAAGTCAATAAGCATTTAAGTGTTTGCTACATGCCAAGCACTACCCTAAGGTCTGGAAATACCAAAGGCAGAATAAAACAGTAACAATAAAATGCCAAAAAAAAAAGCAAACAAAAAAAGACAAGCAAACAAACAAACATACCCTGACCTTGAGTAGCCTACAAAAATAGTCAATAGATTGGAGAGGTGAGGTGAATAGTTGTAATATGATACCAAAGTTGTCAATCCGGGTGACTGTGAAGATGATGGTACACTTAACAGCAATACAGAATTTCACAAAGGGGATGTTGTTGTTGTTGTTGTGTGGGGAAGGAAAGGAGAAAATAATAAGTTCTACTTCCAAAAATGTTGGATTTTATAGGTTTATAGTAATCCAGTTCGAGATGTCCAAGAGTCAGTGATGAAAGACTGATGATCAGGAAAGAAACTGCATCTGGATATAAAGATCTAAGAATCATCTGCATAGACATGGTAATTGAGTACATGGAAGTTGTTGATGAGATCACTCACCAAAATAATATAGAAGGAGAAGAAAAGAGGGTCTGGGAGGGAACTATGAAGGACACCCAGGGTTAGTGGGCATGACCTCCAGCAAAGGAGATGGCGTTGTGCTTAGGCAGGTAGGAGTAGAACCAGGAGAGAAGAGTCCCACAAAAAAAAATAAAGAGGAGGAATACCTAGGAGGAGAGAGTAATAACTGTGTCACAAGCATAATTCCCAGAGAGATTAAGCAGGATAAGTATTGAGAAAAGGCCATTAAATTTGGTCATCAAGAAAAAAAAATGTTAACTTTGGAGAAAACAGTTTCAGTTGAATGATGAGGTCAGAAGCCAGAGTATATTTCTGTCACTATGTTGGCATCATATTATGCATTACATACTCTACAGTAGAGTGTTAGCAATAAGAACCAATTAAAATATTGAAAAAAAGATGTCTATTATGTGAAAATAACATCTAGTAAAATCAGAAGATCATAGCTAAAACTTTCAAATACTAACATATAAATTTATAAAGATATAAAAAGCCTCAGTCTCATTCTCATCTTTGGAGTTTAGGATTTTGTTTTGTTGGAAAAATGGCCTTGCAAAATAAACCCTCTCATATCATGGGCTTCACTATTCAATTTGTGGAATAGAGAAAAAGGTGAAGTAATATTAAGTGTAATACATTCATGTATAGAAGAGATAACAAGGGAAGACAGCTGATAAAAATATGTTTAATCAGTTGAGAATTCATGCTCAATTTTTTTAGCTAATTTCATAATAAATTACCTACTTTAAAAATAATACTTTCTGCATTTAATGCTCACAATTATTGTCATATGTTGACTACAAGTTTCCATCAAAAGCATATATATTAGGTATGGAAGGGACATTAGAGATTATCTAAAACTGATTTAATTTTATAAAGGAAAAAAATAAGGAGTGGAGAGGAGAAACTATGAGCTCATGTTCCAAAGATGTTTGAGCCACGTTTATTACCTTTGTCATCGTATGAGTTGGGCAGTCAGGTAGCTGCTACTATACATCATTTCCCAGTATTCCAGGAGTAACTGTAATAGGGGAATTACTCCCCTACTGAGAGTCACTGTAGCTCCCGAGCCCCCACTACTGTGCTTCTCATTCAACTAATTAATCATGGTCTCTTCGTTAACATTTATTCAAATCTATTTACTAAATCAAAGGCAAAGCAACAACAACACCAATAGTGAGAATAATAACAATAACATTTAACCTATAAACCTGGGATACAGTCCCCCAACAATGCAGAGTGGCCATGGAAGAGAGCAGATACAAACTTAGAGAAACATAACAGGTTATGATACACATATGATACACAAGGTCAACTAACTCACACATCTCAACTTCAGGCTATTTTTTTTGTCTGTTTTAGTCTTTGTTTGTTTTTCTCAGGACTACCCTGCACAATAATTCATTAATGGGTGGCACTCTTCTTCTCACATCTACTTGCTTTATATGCTGATCTTCTGACCTTTTCCACTAGAGCTATTTATCCACTTGTTATCTCATTCAGGCTGCCCTACTTGTGGGATATTGAAGCGGTGTGGTACACTTTCAAAAAAAGTTAAATCTGCTGAGTGGGATCTACAGAGTTTTTTCAGTTCTGATACTTTGATTGAATTCTTAGGGGTTTCTACCTCTGAGCAGTAGGTGGCAATGCAGAGAAATGGATGGGTAAACTTTTCTTCTTTTAATTAGCTACTCAAATAAATAAATTAAAAAAAAGCCAAAACCTTTCTTTCTCATTAGTTTTTCCAAGCAGCAACTATCAATGTAAGCTCTGAACTCTCTTCCCAGACCAAATACAAGGTCTCTCCTAAGATCAGATTACAAGTCTGAGTTATTTTAGAACTCAATTCAGGTTGTTTCCTCCAATGGTCAAAAGCAGTCTTGTCAATGAGATGACTCACCTCTACCTCATATTAATAAACCAGAATCTACATCTTCCGTCTATACCATAACTAGGCAATATACATTTGTCTCATGCTTACCAAATGATTATAGGGACCAGAGTTTCCCAAATAGTAACCTCAATTTTCCATATAAAAATAATACATTAGGAAATGGAACCCTTTGGTCATCTTTGCCTTCTGTAAATTCCTTTACTTTTTGAGTAGCTTTTTCACTGTTTCTCATAAAAAAATTTACTTATTCCTGCCACTTTCAATACAAAAAGTTTATATTTGAAAGGGTACTCCATTAAACCGAGAATAAAATTCAGATTTCATATATCTGGTGATTATTGAATTGGAAAAGTTTTCACAACCTTCCTTTTGGTCTTAGGTCATGCACGGAAAATGTTCCCCATATGTTTGCTAAGATAGTATATCCAATTCACTAGTACACACCATGTTGACTCAACGGTAGCTATTTTTCAACCTAGCTAGGCAAAAAAAAAAATCAAATGAAAATCGAGAAAAGTCCTTTTTATACTGTATGGAAAGCAAATGTATCCCGTGTAAACAGCCTATTTCCAAGTATTAGAAAACTGTACATTCAAATATTCCTCCCATTCATTGGAATTATTTGTTTAAAGACAAGATTATCTCATGAAAAATATTAGGCACATTGGTAAGCTTTACTGATTTGGTATAATCTATTCCTAACTGTAAGAGGTAGTAGTGTGGCATCGTTGATAGAGGGCAGGTCTCAAAATTATGATAGCCTGGTTACAAGTCTTACGTGTGATACTTACTGTTGATTGTGGGACTCTGGACACGTCAAAAACTCTTTGTGTACCTGGCATCTTTCTAAGCCTATATATTGAAGTTTGGCACGAGTGAAGGAATTTTACGCTCAGAAACAAAACAAAACAAACTCCTCTTTATACTAGTAAAGTCGAAAGTTCAGATGTCCCCTTTAAAAAAATCCCAACCTCTATGCTGTGAGTGACCTTTGACAAGACATCACCTTTGATCCTCTATTCTTTTGAAAATGTCATTGATTACAACTTGCTATATAAATGTGAACTACTCCATAAAAATTGAAGTTGTCTGAATTTTTTTTAAATCTATTCATTCGTTCACACCTTCACTCAGGAGCAAATAACACGATGGGAGTACACTTTCAAACAAATTTATCTGAAGTGTACATTCAAATGTGTAATGTCTTTCAGAACGTTTACTTGAGGGAAGATTCACATTTCATTCATTTAACAGTTACTGTTTTTGCTAAAAATTGTGGAATTTAAGCTTCTTGAGATCTAGGACTTTTTGTTATTGTTTTTATATCCACTGCACAGCATTTAATTAATACTTTAAATATTAAGCATACTTAATAAATGCTTAATGGATTAGAAAATGTTCAGAACTATCTTCAGGAATAGACAGAATAGACAGAAACACCATCCTCTCAGTGAAGTCTATCACACTCACAACCTAAGAGTTATCCTCAGCTCCTCACAACTTCTCATCTCCCATATCCAAGCTGTTGGCCAAACCTATTTCACCTCTGCAACATCTCTTACATATGTCCCCCCGTCTTTCCACTGTCACTGCCACTGCTGTAGTGCAAAATCTCATCATGTTGGGGCAGCTAGATGGCACAGTGGAGAAGGACCTAAGTTCAAATCCAGTCTCAGACACATGACACTTACTAGTTATGTGACCCTGGGCAAGTCACTTAACCCCAACTGCCTCACCAAAAAGCAAAAAAATCTCATCATGTCACACACGAATTATTGCAATAGCCTGACAGTGAATTTGCCTGCTTCAGGTCTTTCCCTGCTCCACTTCACCCTCCATTCAGCTACCAAAGTTATTTTCCTAAAGTACAGGTCCAGGCATTTTCTTTGGCTGTCCACTTTGCCTGGAATGCTCTCCCTCCTCAACTCTGCATATGGACTTCCCTTTCTTCCTTTAAGTCTCAGTCAAAGTTCCACCTTTTACAAGAAGCCTTCCCTAACTTCTCTTATGTCTAGTGCCTTCCCTCATTAATCATTTCCTATTCATCCTGCATATAGCTTGCTCTGCATATATTTGTTTGAATGTTGACTCCCCTATTAGTCTATAAGTTCTCTTAGGCCAAAGGTTGTCTTTTACTTCTTTTTTGTATTGCCAATGCTAAACACAGATCCTGACACATAGCAGGCTCTTAATAAATGCTTATTTACTCAGACCAGACACTTGACACTTACTAGCTGTGTGACCCTGGGCAAGTAACTTAACCCCCAATTGCCTTACAAAAATAAAATGTTTCTTCATTTACCGATTGATTAAATGGCCTTCAGACAGCTTAGAATGACATATAATTTTGAGCAAAAATGCTACATCTCAGCATAACTGCTTTCTTTTTCTACCAATACTGACTCAGTATCTTTTGGCTATTTCTCCAAGTCAAATACTCCCCCGAGGGACTATATTTACCTCTATTAAGAATATCTGAAAGACAAAAAAAAAAAGCACAGGTCCTAAAGAGGGAAGGGTAAGTGAAGGGAATAAGCATTTATTAAGCCCCTACTACACATCTGCCACTGTGCTAAGTCCTTTTACAAATATTCCCTCATTTAACCCTCACAACAACCCTATGAGATAGGTGTTATTGTTATTCTCATTTTACATTTTAGGAAACTGAGGTAGACAGAAGTAACTTGTCTAGGGTCACATAGTAAGTGCCTGAAGCACTCTATCCACTATAGCATCTAGCTTTCACCAAGGTGATTCCACAAGAGGAATTTTGAAAGATGTTTTGAGCAATGCCAGCTAAAATAAATAAATCCCCCCCACCATTGTGACTACTTTTAAGGTGACAGTACTGTCTTAAAATAATGAGTCTGGGTATATTTATGTTCAAAAACTTTCTGATTATTTTGTAGTCCTCCCTTGTATATTTGCTGACTTCATGAACTCAGATTTTGTGTGTGTGTGTGTGTGTGTGTGTGTGTGTGCACGTGTGCACATATGCATATGCACATACATGAAACTGAGAGCTGGACAATAGTAATAATAACTAATATTTATATAGCACTTTAAGGATTGCAAAACACTTCAAAAATATTATCTTAGGTTATCCTCACAAAAACTCTGGGAAATAGATGCTTTTATAATCCCTATTTACAGATGAGGCACAGAGGCATACTGAAGTTAGGTGACTTACTCAGGGTCACACAGCTAAGGATGTGTCTGAAGCTAGATTTAAATTCAGGTATCACTTGACCCCAGATCTAGCACTCACTCTACTGTGCCACCTAGCTTCCCAATACAAAGGTCCCTTTTTCAAGCATGTGAAACCTATTCAGCTTTTGCAAAGTCATGTGGATACTTGGAGACCATGCTTTTGGAAATACATAACAGGTAATTGCATGGCCGTTTCTCCTAATCAGAGTAAACCATGGCCTTTAAGGCTATTACTTGTCTTCTTACTTTGCGATGAAGAAAAGCTTTGAAATAGCTAATGAGCCAGAGCTGAATGTGTATAAAAACTATTAACCGAACAAATCATTCTTGCTTCCATGGTGGTGACTGAGGGATGACATGTGGTAAACAGACTCAGGTTCTTATCTCTCTACCCAAGGCCTTATGTGGTTCATGAATCCATGGCCCTCCTCTTCTTCTGTCTCTGTTCTTGTTCTGCCCTTATATTTTCTGAAGAAATGGAAGCACAAAAACCACATGAATTTGAAAGATCAGAAGAGCCATGAGATTCCCCAGGAACTAGAGTCTGCTACTGAATTTGCTGGCAGCTGAACCCAGCCAGCCAGCGCATGCTTGAGGAATGAGCTATTTGGCCCAGTCCCACCAGGGATCTAACAAGATTTGCTGAGATGCTGTGTCCCATGTGGAAAAGGGAGTATCTCATTCAACAGGTCTGCCATACCCAGAAATGAATTGGGTAGGCTGAATGCTTGGTAGTAATCACTTAAAGTTCCAGTACATTCTCTCCAGGGACTAAAGGGTAGAGGGGGAGAGTATTCTCAATTGGTGGGGATAGTTTTGTACTTTGGAACTTGATATGTCTTTTCATCAAATATCCCTTCCTCAAAGCTATATGATGCTCATTGATGAATTAATCTTGAGAAACTAATCAACTGGTTGAATTAATATTGTTGTTTAGTCATTTCAATTGCATCCAACTCTTTGTTACTCCATTTGCGGTTTCCTTGGCAAGGATACTGGAGTGGTTAGCCATTGCCTTCTCCAGCTCATTTTACAGATGAGGAACCTAGGCAAACAGGGTTGAGTGACTTGCCCAGGGCCACACAACTAGTGTCTAAGGCCAGATATGAACTCACAAAGATGAGTCTTCCTGACTTCAGGCCTGGCACTCTAACCACTGTGCCATCTAGCTATCTTGCTGAATTAATAGAAGGGCACTAATCAAATATATTGGTGATATTGAGGAGATAGGAAGTGGCAGAGGGCAACTGATATTAGGAGAAATACATACCAGAGTGGGAGCTTGAGTTGATAGCATTAGAAGGAACCCACAGCCCCTCAGAAATCTTCCTAGAACCCTGAAGGGGAGTTGAAGAATCCATGAATTATTTGTGCATATGTGATTTGGGAGAGCTAATCTTGCTTCACATATATACCCATAAATACAGGCAAATACAGATGCATATGTGTGTGTATGAGTGTGTGTGTACTGAAGAGCTCAGAAAGTGCCTAGAGTGAAAGTAAAAACAACAACAACAGCAACAAACTATCAATGTTTAAATATTGAACATTTTGATTACAATAGGATACACAGAGATAAAACCACATTCATATTTACAATAGTTATCTTCACCACTTTCTTTTATTACGAACCCATTCATCTAGCATTTCTTATTTTCAGATATTGCATTGCTTGTTAGCTTTTTAATAATTAGAATGTGCTATATTAGTACATACAGGACAATGGGAAATTTCTAGCAAAAAGATATTTCTACAGACCTTGAATTTCCTTGTATAAGAGCAGAATGTCATAAGTGATTAGCTGTTAATCTTACATGAACTCAGAATAATTTGCAGTTGACAGAAGATCCCTTATGGCCTTACAGAGCAAACACAATTTGGTCAACGATTCCCACAGCTTCTAGAAGAAAATAGGAATAACGGGTTATAAACTTGTGGCTGCTTTCTTATAAGAATCTTCTGGAACTCTTGAGAATATACACATGTAAACTTCAGAAACATGTTTAGCAGTTCATAACAAAATTCAGGTTTTATAGATGCAAATATGATGGTAGTAGGTAATGTGAGACACACAAGACTGACAGAGATTTATATTTTAGGAAAAAAATAGCAAAATGTATTTCCATTTAATTTAAAATAGAATTTGTATAATATAGAACAGAATTTTCATGTTATTCTTCAATAAAGGTTGATAACAGCTCCAGAATATGACATTTTACAAAAAAAAAAATTCTTAGGCAATTTTTGTTTGGAAAATAGAAATAAAAGGCTTGTGAGTACAGTGCATTTAATTCCTCATTGCCTTATGATGAGCAACACATATCTATTGTTTTCTCTAAGAATATTGTTGAATGATAATTCGATATTTTTTTTAATGACTTTAACATTTTCAATAAATAGGTGGCTCATGGTAGAGCAAATATTGGAGTTGAAATGAGAGGAGTTGGTTTGACTGCTGGTTCTAATATTAATTACCTATCATAGTAAGAATTTGAAAACACATATACACTGCACATACATATGTATATACAAATACTGTAGGTAAAAAAATATATATGTTTAAATATATGTATACAAGCATGTATGTAATGTATATAGACATATTGCATACGTGTGTAAATAGGATATATTTGTTATATGTTTATATAAGTAAATATAAATATAAATACATACATATACAGATGTATATGTAGATCTATATATACATATACATTTACACATAACAATGGTACACATGTGGACATATATACACATACTCATATGCTTTCATATATGCATGTGCATACAAATATATGGAGAGAGAGTAGGGTTCAGCCTCCCTGAAAATAGGCTGTATTTGATCTATACCTTGCTGCCTTTTCATGTCTAAATTTGCCATTCTTTCATTTTAATAAAATTGCTAAAATCATTCATGCTTTAAGTCTATACACTCAAGGCCTTGCTAGTCAGTACTAAGAATCTTCCTGCTTTCAATGTCAGAGATGAAAAAAAGATCAATCTGATGTACTTGATCTCTGCACACCCCCTTTTAACCTATTAAACACATGACTATAATTCCTCATTAGGTTAGTGTTGATGTATTGCTCTTTTTTTGGATAAGTTGCCTCATTATTTCAGTGTATGGGGTCTTATGGTTCCTTAACATACAGGAAATGGAACTCTAGCTGACTTCCACACAAATTAAGAAAGGTATCAGAGCTTGTCAAGCTAGGTGCATAATCATTCAGTAGTCTTTTCAAAGAATCGTTGTGAAACACTCTTCTTCCTCCTGTAGTGTCCCAAAGATCATCACCCCTGCCTAATTATTCCCTCCATATTTCTACTTCATAGTGTCTTGTAAGTCTTAAGCATTCCCCTAGTTTTCTGATTAAGTAATGTTAAGAGGCTAAGTAGTATTCTGATGTTCACACAACTGGTAAGAATAACAGGGATGAAGGGATTATTTGAACCCAATTTTCTCCTGAATATAAGTCTAGCATACTTTCCACTACATCATGATATATGTGAGTAATTTACTCTAGAGTGAAAAACAAGAAAAAGAGAGAGAAAGAGAGAGACAGAGAGAATTGTTTACCCTGTGGGAGCATGGAAGAGTGGATAAATAAAATATTACTACTGGCTAGAATAGTATTCCTTCTGACATGACAAGAAGGATAAGGTGGTTGGTTGTTTCATAGAAAGAGGGAAGACTCGGCCGGGATAGACAACAGGAAGCAGGAGGTAAATCCCCATAAAGCTGCCTAGACAATGTTATTGAGATGTGTAGATATTGGGAAAGGAATCATGGGAGTCGTATGGATAGCATTATTATATACAACCAAGACTTTTTATAAGAGGTTCAAATTGATCTAGTATATTATGCTACAAGTACTACCAAAACTTATTCCCAGAGAAGCAAAGTAGGCAAATCCCCTAAAAATATCAATAATATAAGTAAAAAAAAAAAAGCTCTGACTCTTTAGAATAATAAGATGTCAGATTCTCCTACCAGGAATGTGGAAATAAAATACAAGTGGTAAAAAGAACATTGACTTAGAACATAGGTTCCCAGACTTATTTGGCCTAACATCCCCTTTTCAAAAAAGAAATTATTCAGCACTCCCCTGGAAATCTACTTTCTTTAACCCTTTAACATTTTTTAAAAATCTGTGTCATTTCAAAAAATACATATGAAATGATTTTCTTAAAAAGATGCATCTTAAATTTAATAGTTTATTGTAAATTTGTGAGGTTTAAATTTCTCCTGCATGAAAATTTTGGTGATGTGATATTGTGTCACGTAATTGTATAGTATTGTATTATAAACAAGTCATTACATGCACATATTTCTGCCTATGTATGCTGGACTTCTGGACAATGCACAAGACACTCTCCTGCCAACACTTGCTTGTTAAGACCTCTTGGCAGATGACCATTGATCTGTTATAAATTGTATTTTGTGTGTTTATTTGGAAAATAATGTAATCACTATGATTTTAACTCTGTTATACAACAGATGAAACATGTACGAACTGTTTTTCAAATTTTTCTTCTCTTCTCTTCTTTCCTTGTGCTTCCACTATCCCTTTATTTTTATTCAACAATCCCAATTGCACCCAAGGCTGTTACCACTCCCCTGGATTGTTGCAGCATTCCCTGGGGGTGGTGTCACCCACTTTGGGAACCTACAATTGGACTCAGGAATATTTCTACAAACTTGGTTTGAGTAACTCAACTTTTCAGTTTCTCCAAAGGAAAAAGAAATCAATCAAGAGTTGGAGAAAATGTCAGCCTAGAAAATCATCCCACCGATTTCAAGGTAATGTCAAGAAAATATGTTCTGATATATTAATCAGGTGAGAAAACTTCTCTATCCAATCAATCAATCCATAAATTCATCAGTCATGGGCTTTAGACTTAGTGTGAACAAATACTGATAAATGCAGAAGTCTTTAAAAGCAATTGGATGAACTGGAGTGATTTTTGCTCAGAAAATGTCTTTAGATTGTTTGAGGAAACTTGTCCATGTCTTGTGAACTATCTATAAAACAGAGCCAGGTTAGAATTGAGAGATATAAGTATCCTACAGATTAGTGGTGGATGACTCCAGTTAAGCCCATGAGAAGTAATGACTTGAGGAAGATGAGTCTTGGAATTGATCTACTTCCCCACTCCTTTGCCTTAAGGGGACTTTATGAACTTTGGATGCCTAGAGGATTCAAACACACTAGCAACATCCCTAGGACAGCAGTTAATGACATGGTCTTGAGAGATGTCTGAACATCTAGTGCTCTGAAATGCAATGATCCAAGAGAGATTAACCCTAGAAAGTCAATATTAGTGCAAGAATTCATGAAGTGACCAAGCACGTTGACCACCCCAACTGAAAGTGAAGCAGTGGGAAGAACTTGGTGCTAACAGAGTGGCTCGTTGCAGAAACTATAGCTGAACAGATGACCAAATCAAAAGAAACAGAAACCAGAGTAAACATTTATTCCAATTATAATTCCATAAAAGCAAACAAAGATGCAAATAAAAAAATAGATTTTCCATAAAGAGATAAACATTAAAATAAAAACACTTAAGCACAGAATCTGAGGGATAATAAGTAGCTTAGAAGTGAAAGTGGTAAACTTTATCCATGAAATGAAATCGCTGAAAACCAGAATAGATTAAACAGAAATCAATGAATCTATGAGATAGTGAAGAATTTTAAAATAAAGTGATGACAAAATGTAAGATATTTGATATTAGAAAATAACCTATATGGAAAACTAGTCAAGCTGAAATGATTTAGGGCTACCCCAAAAACATGATTTAAAAAAAAATAAGTTTATACAATTATTTGGCAGCTAGGTAGCACAGTGGATAGAACACCTGTACCAGAGTCATGAAGGCCTGAGTTCAAGGCTTCAGACATTTACTAGCTTACTTACTAGTCACTTACACACAATGTGCCTCAGTTTACTCAACCATGAAATGGGGATAATGAGGATAATAAAAGCACTTACCTTACAGAGTTGTAGTTATGATAGAACGAGATAACAATTCTAATGTGTTTAGACAGTACCAGGAACATATTAAATATTATGTAAATGTTAAGCATTTTTATATTTCAAGAAATTTGAAAACTTCCCATTTCTACTAGTAAAAAATGAGAAAGTAAAGATAGAGAGCATCTGATAATCACCTCTTGAAAGAATCCCCATAATGATCCCAGGAATTCAGCCGAAAAACACAGTTCATGTGAAAGGGAAAAAAGTTGCAAAAATCTTTAAAGAAATTCAAGTTTTAAGGAATCAGTACAAGTGAAGTACAATAAAAATCATACAAGATTTGGTTGCTTCTACTAATAGGAGAGGAGATCTTGAAATACAACATCCCAAATGACAAAATATATAGGCTTACAATCATGAATAACTTGCCTTGTAAATGTGGGTATAATTCTACAGGAAAAAGTAGACCTTCAATAGGATATAATGCTTTCAAGAATTTTTTTGATAAAAAGACCAGAGCTAAGTCCAGAGAAATCTAAAAAGGTAAATTTATTTAAGCAATTGGAAGTAGCTTTAGAATTTTATAGTGGTAACATTCTAATATAAAAATGAGAAACAATTGTCCCTTCTGAACCCTGATGTCTTCAGTTAAAAGGAGGAAGTGAAATAAGAAAATACAACAATTCCCGGGAGTAAATTGTTAATGTTTTCAGGATGTGAAGAGTGTAAAGAAAGAGGAAATAAAAAGGAAGCCTACAGAAGAGATGCAACTTGGTATTTCTTATACTTGGCATGTATGAGAAAAACACACAAACATGAAGGAAGTGGGGGCAAGTATGTATCAGAGAAACATCACTCACACGAAATGGACAAAAGAAGGTTGTATAGACACATGAACATACACACACTAACAAATTGGGGGGAGGGTTGTTTTATAAAGTTAACATCAAAATTAATAGGAAAAACAAGCAGAGATAAGAAAATTAAGAGGGAGTATAATTCAAGTGAGGGAATAGTTGTAAGCAAAAGTAATACAAACAAACAAACAAAAATAACCTTGAGCAGGGAAAAAGTAAAAAAGGGGAAAAAAAGAATTAGAATCAAATTTTTAAAGACTTATGATCTATGTTCAACACAATGACTAACTATATCTTCTGAGGACCAATGACTAAGGATGTTACCCTCTTCCTAATTGAGAAATTCTGGACACAAGATCCAGAGATAAATAATTTTGGATATGGCCACTATATGGTTTACTTTTGCTTCACTCTGCTTACTTTGCTTACTTGTTATTGGGTTATATTTTTAGTTTTTGTTTTGTTTTTCATTTCTCTCAGTAAGTTGGGTGAGGCAGGGTGGGTTAGCAATAGTGATGCTAAAAAAAGAGGGCCACTGAAATACGTTTTAAATACACAGAAAGAAATTAAGGAAGCATAGATAGATAAACAGAACATTTTAAAAACATGTATAATTGATTACATAGCAACACACATATATGTATACATATATATATGTATACATATATGTGCGTGTATAAGTATACATACAAAAAGAAAGTGGTGTAAAATGTAAATTTATTATTTCCTAAGGAATTCTCTTTTTGTGTTCTATTGTGTATATGTAAATGTTTATCAGTGTTAAGTTCAAACTAAAATACACATTTTTAAAGCTTCATTAATATTTAATTTTGGGTCACAGCAAGAAAATGTTGTGAGCTTTTGACCTATTAGAAATAGTCCACAAAAAAAAAAAAAACTTAAGTAGGCTTTTATGTTTTAATATTATTTTATCATATTAATCAGGTTTCAGTCTACTCTAATAGCAATATCCAAAGACATAAAAATAGTTCATTGTTGAGATTAAAAACCTGATGATTATGTGACAAGCATCCATGCCTTTCAAATTTATGAGTGTGGAATTGATTCCTAGTGCCTCAAGAATCACTCAAACTATTGAGAAAATGGTTTATTTTAATATATCCCAAATTACACATTTGTATTATCTTCTCATCAGATTCAAACTTTTATTTAATATTTTTGTTTGGTTTAAGTTTCAAATTATGAAATATTATTGATTTATTCATTCAATAGATGTTTATTAAACTCTTTGGTGTCATGCTTTCTGCTAGGCAGTGGAGGAGATGTAAATAAAAGAACTTAGTTTTCGAGTCAACTCTGTAACATATTGACATATAGAGAAAGTCAACTTGCATTGGCAAAATTAATTTCCTCATCTTAGAATTCCCTATACCAATGAAATTCAACTCAGTTTAATAAGCATTTATTAAGCACCTACTATATGCCAGGTATCTGTGCTAGTCCCTATCTCCTATTTCTTTCAATATATTTTGGTATTCTCCTGGCATCATGCATTTTTTTTTTATTTTCTTATAGTGCTATATTTTCCCTATGTATTCATTCCTATTTGAGGGCCATTTCTGTACAATATTGGTAGATGTGACAAGAGAAGTTAAAATTATATTTCACATCCAGAAATTGTTGCTGATTGCATTTTCATTCACTATTATGTTCATTTCCTCCTGTCTTTCTTCATTATTAACTTCTCCCTCTTACTCCCTCTCCCTCTTTGTTTCTCTCCACACGACACATACACGCACACATCTATACATATTCCCTTGTGGTTATATAGGTCTCTGTCTCTGTCCTTTGAATATCTCATGGTTGTTTCATAGACTCTTTTCTTTTTGTCCAAGAGTGGTGAGAGTGTACCACAACTCTGCCAACTAAAGATGGGAGGAGGAAAAAAAACAGAAAAAAAAGAATGTCATTCTCAGTGGGAATAGAATAGTCTGTATATTTCATTTTCACATAAATTGAATCATAGTAATCTATTTTTTCCTCTTAATCAATGGGCATAGTAAGAAAATAAATAATAGAGTAAATTATCCCAGAGAGTGGGGTAGTGTTAAGATGACTGTAGAAATTGCTATTTTAAAATGAATATTTTGTCCTTCTGATAAAAATTTGGGGAAGCAGTAGACTGTACAATGTATGAACTCTACTTTCACTCCTGAAAATGAAACTTTAAAAGAAAATGAAAAGGGCTGTCATTATTTAGAACAACTCAAGTAGAGTGTCACCTTGTTGTTGGCTACTTAGCTTTTGGAGTGTAATTTATTTCACCACCAACACCCCTTCCCCTCACTGACTGGCTTTTAACCTCTGCGATAGCTATGTCCTAATATGTGTAAGGGTGGCAGCTTGAATGAGGCAACATAAATACAAATGTCATATGTTATTATTTTCATTGGGAAGCATTTTTCTCTTTATTTACAGGAATTTGATCTTTTTGTATTAAAATCTAATTATTCTAAAACTGCATATTATATTTGAAAGTATTTATTTTAATTTCAGCTACCAGTCTTGTCCAAAGTACTCTGCTATTGATCTTCAACTCAGCATTAATGAAAGACCTCCCTTACATGTGTCAGATCAGGTACTTGAATGTTTTATCTTGATTGACAAAACACTATTATCTCTGTTTTGAATTAGTGTCAAATGAATATCTATCAGTAAATTAGTCAACAATTCTTTTTTATTTTTTCTGAGCATTACAATATACAAAACACATGCTCACTATCCCATTAGGGCAATCTTGTCACTCCTGCTAAAGTGGTAGATCCGTCCCTTCAGAAAACCTATATCCTGAGCACTTGTAAACCATTGTCTTGAAGAAGTTTTACAGTTTCAAATACTGGGTAATTCTACTTGTTCCCCTTTTAAACTTTGAGACTATCTCTTGCCGCATATACCTATAACATAGATTTGTTTCGTATATATCCATATATCCTATGTGCCAGTTTCGTATCTTTCCCCCTGCTTTCTTCTCATAGCCATTGAGGACCTAAAATGAGCTCATAAAACTAACATATTATTTGTTGACCACTCTGGTCATTGTCTTCTTTAGATTAAAGAGATACTAGTTTGTGGAAGCATCCAGAAAGCAGAAACACTGAACACTAAGGACACTTGAGCGGCTATTCCTCCGCCTTACTTGCTCTAATACTACATGACGGTTTTTCTTATCTGCCTTGGTTAATTCATTTTATAGTACTATCTGGGAACCAGTATGGGGCTTCCATACTGTATGTAGTAAAAATAATAATAATAACTAAAAAATAAACTGACTTTGTTATGGTTTCTTAAAAATGGTGATGTATTTCTTGCCTCCTTATATGTGTACCAGCTATCTCTCAAGTCTGAAATGTAAACCCTCCTCACCTCCTTCTCTTAGAATCACTAGTTTCCATCAAGGCTCAGCTCAAGAACATTCTATATTAATTTCCCCCACCCACCCACCCAATTTCCCCATCTGCTAGTACTTTTCTACCCAAATCACATTGTGTTTATTTTGTATGTATCTATATTTATGCATGCTGTCTGCCTTGTCTAAACTGCTCCTGGAAGTCAGGGACTGTTTTCACTTTTGTTATCATATCCCCAAAGTCTAACACAGTACATCATAGGTGCTTAATAAATACTTGTTGATTGATTACAAAAAATTATGAGAATAGCAGTCAACATGGGGGGTGCACTATCTAACACAATCATTTATGAAATATTTATTAGCCATAAATCTATCTACTGATACATAAAATATAACTATGTGTCTACATATATACATATCTATGTATGTATGCATATGTGTAGACATGTATGTATATATGTGTACATAGATAATATATACTTAAAATAACATTTTAATTTATAGTTAAAACATTGCACATATTTATAAAAATAATGAATATATACGCACATGTCTATGTATGTACAGATATAGATAAGTTGCTAGATAGACTGGCAGACTGACAGAGAGAGAGAGAGAGAGAGAGAGAGAGAGAGAGAGAAATTTTTAAATATTTTGAATGGGCCTGTGATTTCATTGGTATGTGGAAGTCCCAGTGAGGACACTCACTGTACAAGTGTAAGCTGGTCCTTGTTCTACAATTTATAAAGTTAGAGAATTATCCAGAGCAAATGACAAGTTAGATGACTTCCAGTGGTAACCCAAACCAATAGGTGACAGTATGTGGTGTTAAATCTAGATCTTTTTGAGTCCAAGGCCAGCTCTCTATCCATTATATCATGACATCTCTATTTGTAACACTTTCCTCAGCCTATATAAGATTCACCAAATAAATCAATGGTTAATGCAGTGAGGATTTTTTTTTTTATTAAAACAGCATAATAGGATGGTGAAAGATCATTATTTTATAAATAGCTTTCTAAGCAATCTGATATTTATAAGAATCAAGATGTATTAATTTTCCTACTGATAGATAAAGATTTTATCCTATGTAACAAGGGGACTCAGATATAATAATCTATTCTTTTTTGAAACCAATTTATCTTTAGTATATGATGCTCTAAACTGTTTCTATAGGCACATGCAATGTTTTAACAATAAATAAAATTTTACTTTTCTACAACCAGATACTTGAAGCTGATGTACACTTTAGCATTGGTCTTGATAGTGGGGAGGGAAGTCAGCAAATTCAATTGGTAAAGGTCAGCTTTAAAGGTTTCAATATAATCATTATCCTTTGGCAGAACATTCAAGGATACTTCCCATTTCCTTAGGAGAAAATGGCATTTATACTGCTGATTAATTGAGGGCAAACAGCTATCTTCATTCACTGTTAGTAATGACTGATTAGATACAAAATAATTTATCCAAGTAAGTATAAGGCAACTGTTTATGAAGTACATATCAATATTATAATTAAAATGATCATCAGATAAGAGGCACCTTGTTAAGGTAAGTTAGGTATTTCAGCTAAGTAACTGGATGTTTTTTTTTATGTAATAGACATCAAGGTGGGTAGTGACACTAGTATGTTTGGCTTTAGATTGCATGATTGAGGACAAATACTAAAATTATCCTTGATAACAGGGAATTCTAATAGGAGAAGAGGAAGGGATATGTTAGAAAGTGATTTAAAAACTAAAGATATCAATACCAAAAACGAAAAGAACAAATATGATTATAAGTGTCTTTTACTGGACTCTAAGTTTAGGATGTACTATTTGTACTATTCTGTTTTCAACGTAAAATGGAATATATGTAGTTAAGGTAATAACTTTAGGAAATAGGATAAACTGATCAAAGCAGTAATAGTGATGCAATTTGAAGAGATGTGCAAAGACCCAGAAACCAGTATTGAATGCCTTACCTCAAAATATTAGAAAAACACGAGACAACTTGTTTGTGCCTACACATGCAGAGGCACACACACACACACACACACACACACACACTCACACACTCACACACCACAACAATACATATACTTACACACACATCTATAGCACCAGCTGCTGCTTACATACCAGACATTTAAGCTTCTTAACTCTAATAGCACTGCATGGAAGAGAACTGTACTTTGCCACCCTCCTACAGAGCAGTTCTCTTTAAATTACAATTTAACTTCCCTGCCATTACACAAAGTGTTTATGCTTCATAATCCTAGATACCAAACATTATAAAGAGGAGGAAATTATTTTAATATTGTTATAAAGTTCATAATGAAACATATCAATGCTCCCCAAGAATCTTAAAGTGCTCATTTAAGCTGCCCCCATGTTTGCACCATATTTTGACTATTTAGTAAACATGGAGAATTAGTTCCCATTATAACATACTTGGTAACATTTCAATTATTATTATTTTTTAATTCTTAAATATTATTCAAGTCAGCCAGATACATATTGTGATATTTGTGTATGGTAAGCAAAGAAATGTCACTTACTACTTCTGTGACCTGGAGCAAGTCCCTTAACATTACTGACTATCCATTTTTCATCTCGAAATTTGGGGGGGGTTGGATTCCATTACCTCCTTGGAGCTCTAAATCTGTAATCTATTGTCGTTGTTGTCATCATCATTTTAGAGAAGTGATATGGTATGAACAGAAAGCTGACCTTAGAGCCAGTCTCATCTCCAACACATACTGCCTGCCATCCTATGGATGTCAACCTCTTTTTGCTTTGGGTTACTAAATCTGAGACTCTAAAGAGTAGAACAGTTGCTGATCTGAATTGGTATAGAGAGTTCTTCATTAGGCGTTCTCTACATGGTTAAAAATCAGTAATCTATGAATTATAAATACTTGTGAAAGTATTTTCTTCCAATATTAACGAACCCTCTGATAGTACTATTTTCAAGGTATTTGGAAGGTAGTAAGTAGACTGTTAGTGTTTGCACACCAACTTTTCTCTTGCCTTCCTTAATTACAATAGTCACTCAAAACTTCACTTAAAGAAATAAAAATCAATCAATCAATATTTATTAAGTGCCAATTATGTGTTAGGCACTATACTAAGTGCTGGAGATACAAGAGGAAAAAGACATTTTCTGCCCTCAAGGACCTTACAATCTAATAGCCCAAACACTGAATCTGAATTGAAAGAGATTTCAGAGGTCATCTAGTCCATCTCATACCTGAAACCAAAGAATCACCAAATTTCAGACACATGAAGGACTTCATCAGCTATTTTTTCAACCAATATACAAAAGGAATCCCTGATATAACAATAATTTTTTAAAATTAATTTATTTTGATTTATCAACAATCACTTCCATATGCTTTTGAGTTGAAAATTTTTCTCCCCCTTCCTCCCCCCCCACCCTCCCCAAGATGGTGCACAATCTAATAGAGGCTGGTTTCCTTGAAGTCCCTGACCTTTTCTTCTTCCCATTAAACATATTTTTATATTACTGAAGTTGCAAGTAAAAATTAAAACCAATAGGAGGAACCACCAGAAAGGTGAAACAAAACTCCACAGAAGGTAAAAATAAGTGATAGCAATTCGACTTCCATAGTTCTTTCTTTGGATGTGGACAGCACTTTCCATCCTGAGACCTCTGGAGATGTCTTAGATCCTCCTAATGATGAGAAGGGTTCAGTTCAACAATCTTAGTCATTGCATAACGTGGCTGTTATTGTGTACAAAGTCCTCTTGGTTCTGCTTACTTCACTCAGCATCAGACCATATCAGTCTTTGCAGGTTTTTCTGAAGTCAGCCTGTTCATCATTTCTTATAGCACAATAGTATTCCATTACATTCTATACCACAACTTGCTCAGCCATTCCCCAATTGATGGGCATCCTCTCAATTTCCAATTCTTTGCCACCACAAAAAGAGCTGCTATGAATATTTTTGTACATGTGGGTCCTTTTCCCATTTGTTTGATCTCTTTGGGATATAGCCCTAGAAGTGCTATTGCTGGATCAAAGGGTATGCACATTTTTGTAGCCCTTTGGGCATAGTTCCAAATTGTTCTCCAAAATGGTTGGATCATTTCACAACTCCACCAACAATGTATTAGTGTTCCAATTTTCCCACATCTTCTCCAACATTTATCATTTTCCTGTTTTGTCATGTTGGCCAATCTGATAGGTGTGATGTGGTACCTCAGAGTTGTTTTGATTTGCATTTCTCTAATCAATAATGATTTAGAGCATTTTTCATATGACTATAGATGGCTTTAATTTCTTCATCTGAGAACTGTCTGTTCATATCCTTTGACCATTTATCAATTGGGGAATGGCTTGTGTTCTTATAAATTTGTCTTAATTCTCTATATATTTTAGAAATGAGGCCTTTATCAGAGAGACTGGTTGTAAAAATTCTTTCCCAATTTTCTACCTTCCTTCTAATCTTAGTTGCATTGGCTTTGTTTGTGCAAAAACTTTTCAATTTAATGTAATCAAAATTATCCATTTTGCTTTTCATAATGTTCTCTATCTCCTGTTTGGTCATGAATTCTTCTGTTCTCCATAGATCTGATAGGTAAACTATTCCTTGTTCTCCCAGTTTACTTATGGTATCAGCCTTTATATCTAAGTCTGAACCCATTTTGACTTTATTTTGGTATATGGTGTGAGATTTGGGTCTATGCCTAGTTTCTGCCATACTCTTTTCCAGTTTTCCCAGCAGTTTTTTTTTCAAAGAGTGGGTTCTTATCCCAGAAGCTGGGGTCTTTGGGTTTATCAAATAATAGATTACTATAGTCATTGACTACTGTGTCTTGCATATTTAACCTATTCCACTGATC